AAAAAATCCAGTCGTAGTAAGACTTACAGTGGTGTTTAACAGCATACGCGCAGTAGTCAAGAGTAGAGTAAGAAATTCAGTAAACAAGGCATGCTTAAATTCATAAACTATTCAAGAAAGAGAGTATTATTAAGAAATTAAACATTGATTTTTATATATAGCCCATAAGTTCTATAGGGTCTGGGAATTTATGTCATTACAAAAAGAACCAACAGCAGCACCCCATTTAACCCCGCCCCATTAGTTTCCCCCCTGGCAGGCAGTGCACAACCCAAACAAACCCAATGGCCTCTCTGCAAGGGTTGCCCCAACTCACCACTGGAGACCAGCCAGACCCACTCTGATGAACCTGAAAACAGACAAGAGCCATCAAGTGATGCTGCAAATGAATACAGATGTCACACAAAACACATAAAGCGCTGCCCTGCCAATAGGTGCGGTGATGCTTGCGCTGCAGCGCCTGAGCTAAGAGCTGCAGGAGAACCAGATCTCCATTAGCAAGTGAATAACAACTGTTCAACCCAGCTGCAAGTTTACCCACGACTTTACAGATTGATATAAAATATTTTAGGGCTGATCATGCTGACATCACTTAAGTTCTATGTAGCCATGAACATACGGCCAATATACAGCAAAAGTTGGCTTGCCAATATACAGCAAAAGTTGGTCAGCCTGCAAGCTGGTCATCCTGAAAGGAGACAACTCTTTTAGAGACTACATCACGCTGAACTTGTCCATCTTGCCGGGACTTCCTTGCCCACTGCCACATCCATTTCCCAATAAACTGTCCTTTTAGAAGTTCCACTAAACCCTACAAGACCCTAAAACGTTAATGACAAATTGGGCAGACATCCTTTAATCAACACGTTTGAGCGTTCGCTTGCCTGTTCTCCTTCCAGACCCCTCATTTTCGGGATGGATGGCCCGCAGATATCGATGTCCAGCAGAGCAACCTGGAACACAGCCCAGCCCCCCGCTGGCAGCCGCCTGGAACGCTCCGGCGCACCCACAGCGGGTCCGCAGATCCGAGCGGAGGGCGGCCGCCGCAGCCCCACCCCGTGCCGCCCGCCCCGCGCACCTGCTTGGCCTCGTCCGCCGCCAGCCCGTGAGCCAGGAGCGCGCTGAAGGTGCTCTTGCCCACGCCGCCCTTCCCCGAGAGCACCAGCACCGTGTGCTTCACCGCCCGCAGCCGCGACCGCAGCTCCGACAGCTCCGCTGCGGCAGCCACAAGGGTCAGCGACGAGCAGGCACGACCAGCTCAAGCCCCGCCCCTGCCCAAGCCCCCATAAACTCCGCCACCACAAACTACGCCCCTTACCCAAGCCACGCCCCCACTCCCACAAGCTCCCATAGACTCCCCTTACTACACAGGCCCCGCCCCCTGCACAAGCCCCTCTACACACAAGGCCCGCCCCCCCCCCGCCCAGGCCCCGCTCACCCGGGGCCGGGGCCGGGGCGGCGCCGGCAGCGCAGAGCCCCTGATTGGGGCAGCCCTGGCAGGCGGCGGCCCTGCCCGCCTGGGCGCTGCTGCTCCCTGGGCAATCTGCAACGGACAACGAGGCTAGAGCATGAGTGCGGCCGGCGCGACGGACCGACCGACCGACCGACCGACCGACCGACCGACCGACCGACCGCAAGCTCCCCTCACCCCCCGGCTGCGGCCCACCCGCCGCCTCCGCCATGGCGCCCACAACCGCGTCACTTCCACCCGGAGCCAAAGAGGCGGGGCTCCGAAAGGCCGCCCTGTACCGCGCGCGCATGCGCCGGCGCTACGCGCCGCCGCCAGGGGGCGCTCCGTGGCCGGCTGTCGGCTCTGTGAGAGGCCGGACTCGGGGCCGCCGCTCAGCCGCGGCAGGTACCGGCAGTGCCGGCGCCGGGGGAGCCGCTTCCCCAGCGCCCTTTCGCTGTACCCGCCCCTGCTGCGGTCCTGGGGCGCGCAAACAGGATTCAGTTCAAGGCAGCAGTGCTCATAAGTATTTATAAAACCGTTCCTTGTTCTCAGATAAGACTGTCTTGCAGAAAACACAGATGGACATCTGCAGCAGCTTTTCGAGAAAGGAAGCATTTTCACGCTCTGAAGAGTCACGAGAGAAATAACATTTCATTGACTCTCAAGCCCGGGCAAATTTCGCTTACCGTGACTGGGTTCAGATTTCATTAGTGACTAGAAAGAATGTCATTCCTGACAAGAAACAGAATTGCCGAGCAGCTGTATGAGCCAGAGCTGTTTTGCTCTGGCACCATCTTTTTGCTAGAGGCATCTCTCTGTTAAAGGGATGTATACCCTCCTCTGAGATGAGAACCCGGACAAAACAGAGCACGCCCAAGGCCCAAACTGCCTGTTTCATTGTTATTTTGACTCGGTTTAGCAAAAACACGTTAGTGACATAGTAATTTATTTTGTTCTCCTACATGATGGTGCACTCTAAAATTGCTGGTCCTGCAGCACCTGCAAGTGCGATACAGTGTAAACTGGAGAAGAAGCAATAACAGAACTCTCGGGGCTTATTCTTGTTCCTCAGTAGTTAAAAGCGGAGCAAGAGAGTATGCAGCGAGTTAAGCATCTTCCTGTGTATAGTTAGGGGCTCCTCTGTTATTTGGAAAATATTTTAGGAAAACCAGGCCAAATTAAATGATCCCATGGTTTTACTTTTCGTAAAGCTGCTTTAGATGGAACGGGTTGCCCAAGGAAGTAGTGAACGCTCCATCCCTGGCGGTGCTCGAGGCCGGGCTGGATGGAGTCTTTGGTGGCATGGTTTACTGCGAGACGTCCCTGCCCATGGCAGAGGGCTTGGAACCGGATGATCTTAAGGTCCTTTCCAACCTTAACCATTCTATGATTCTATAAAATAAACGTCTTGTACATTTTTAGGACCCACGGAAAAGTTAAATAGATAGTGATCCCATATAAATGTGAAATTGATTTGAGTCTTTTCAGAGATTGAAGTAAAAAAAGAAAAAAAAGCCAGCATACTGGAATTCAGCGGTAGGACGATTTTTATATGATTGTAAATTGTTACACTTAACCTTTTGGCTAAGGCAGGCCCAGAGTTCCTGCATCTTCTGTTTCAATCTATGCGGATCAGAGCAAGCTCAGTTAGGACGCAGATTAAACGTCCAGATGTATATTTGAAACCTTTGGTTTTAAAGTACGGTATTGACAATGTGATATTTCCCTCTTTTCTATGACAATGTCATGTTTAAGATAGTTGAAAATGCTGGGGATTTTAGAGATACCCCTTAGCACAAACAGAACTTGTGAATTTTTTGTGAATGCTTCAGCTTTCAGATCTGTTGGCTGTATCTATGCCAACACTATTCCCATTGTTACAAAGTGTTTTATATAAAAGCTTACAATATTCCCAAATCTGAACCCAATCTCTCCTCTTCTGATATGCTTGATGAAGTGTGCCATGAAGGTATTTTCTCTGGGCACAAACTAAATCAGTACTTCTCCTCAGTACAAAACTCAGTCGTCCCGTGTCAGTATACACAACAAAGGCACGAAAGTGACTCTTCCCAATGGTTCTAACTCTGCTTCAGCACTGTTAAGCTATCTGAGCTCGTTACCTGCCCCTGGCACGTTCTGTTGAGGAGTCTGTGGTGGTTTTTTTCTTTTAAATGTGCTTTTCTTCTTAAGAGATTCCTGGACTATTCCCCACCACCATCTGATGAAAAAATACACCAAACTTGCAAAGTCATAAAACAGTGACCTGCAGCGAAGCTTCAAAAGACACAAACAACCCCTAAACCCAACAAGAGTAAGGGACACGGTAATCTCTGTTAAAAATTTAACAGTAAAAGCTGTCAGGCAGGTCCAAATTAATTTCAGATTTGAGATCTGGGTTATTCTTGTAATCCAAGGATTGCAAGGTATCCTAATTTGACTTGGAACACAGGCCTCCTGTAGTTATCCCTTCCCAGCTGCAGCCAGCACCCTGAAAACCCTTGAAGAGTTCCCAGCTCTCCAGCAGCCCTAGAAGTTCCCAGGAGATCTCAAAGGAAAGCAGAGAAACTACTCATCACCTGTTAGCTACCTCTTTCAGCTGCGCTCACCACATGAGTTTAATGGAGCCCTGATGACTGCCACAACCAACAGCGGCTTCTCTATTTTTACGGATAAACAATACACCAGCCACTAAGTGGACCTCTGAAGGTCCATCCAACCCAAACTATTCCATCATTCCTTTCCTTCTACTCGGGTTGTGCTCCAGACACGGTCTGGTGTTTGTCCTGGTGTCGCCGGTGAATTATTCAGGGAAGTCATCCTTGGTGGGTTAATTAAAAGGGCTTTCTTCACGATGAAGCGATGATCAGATGGGAAGGAATCAGCGACTGAAGGAAAATCATAGCGTAAGCAAACGGTGATAAAGTAATAGTGGAATGGTAAAGAGAGTCACAGGAATCATTCAGGTTGGAGAAGGCCGTAAAGGCCGTCCAGTCCAACCGTTAAGCAAACACCGCCAAGTTCACCAGGAAACCATGCCCCTAAGCTGGCCCTTGACTCTGCACTTGCAGGTGGAGCAGCCGCCCCGCTGACCTCGGTGCCAAGGGCTCGGGTCCCTGCCTGTGCGCTTCACAGCCAGCCCTGCGATGCAGTGTCCGTGTCACAGTGGGTGGTGTGTGGCCGAGGGTGCCCCTGCCCATACTTGGGGCGCACGCGGGCCAGCGGTGCTCATGTCACAGAGGCCACTGTGACTGGTGGCGGGGGCAGGCCTATAAGAAAGGGAACGCCGGGCACAGTGCATCGCTGCGACCTGCTGAGGTGCGGGGAGTAGAGGGCAGGGACAGGGCTCTCGGGGGCCTGCCGAGGAACGAGGGGGCTCCACACCGCAGGGCTCTGGGCCTGTGCTGCAAGCTCACCCGCGTCTCTCTTCTCCCTCACAGGTAGCAGAGGAGCATTTGGAGAAGCAGCCCCAGCGCTGCTGGGACAGGGACTCTCCAAACGCCCACCTTTGATGTCTGACACCTCCGCAAGGAGGTCTAGGACACCCGACTCGATGGAGCAGGGTGAGAGCAAAGTCCCCCTCCTACAGCCTGGCAGAGGGACTCCTGAGGCTGTGGGCATGCACCGGGAGCGTTGGCAGGGGGAGGCAGGAGCTCCAAAGCCACCCTGCGGGAGGGCCGCTCCTCTGCTTGGCAAGCGGGACCAGGGCTGGGCAGTGCGCACCCTCCGGGACACCCATGCCTGCAGTGCCCTTTCCTCTCCAAGGCTTCCAGCCCTGCTCAGCAGCCAGCTAGGCAGGGACAGAGCAGCCCCTGGGGGCAATCCCTCAGGGATGCATCCCTGGCCCCACAGAGATGCTCATTCGCCGTGGCATTTGCTCTCTCCCCTCCAGCATGCGTGCTGTGTCGCCGCGCAGAGGCAGCCCCGGACATCTGCGGGCCAAAAAGGAATTATGAATGGGGCTGTGCCCATCGCTTTTGCCTGGTGAGTTCCTCTGGGGCTGGTTTTATCTTTGCAATGCACCTGCCCTGCCACATGCCCCTCACCTGCTCCTTGTCTCTGCTCTTCTGCAGCTTTTTGCCAGTGACCTTCATCCCCAAGGGACCGAAGAGGAAGAACAGATCGGATTTTCTCTTATGGATATTCTACTGACAGTCTATCAGGCAGCCCAGATGGTGAGGATCTGAGACGATCAGGGTGACTCGTGCCAGGAGAGGTTTGCGGGAGTTTAGCGCAGATGCCAGGAACAGAATCCCAGATTTTCCACCCAGCTCTGGGACAGAAGTCTTGCTCCCAGCAGCTCCACAGAGGCTCCAGCACAGGAGCCTGCTCTGCCAGGTGGATCTGTGGCCTGTGATCCAGCTGGGGCCACATCCCGCCCCCTGCCCCAAGGTGTGGGTCTGGCTGTGGAGACCCTGAGGCTGCCGCTGATGGGGGCTGCCCTGCTCTTTCCAGGTCTGCTTTGTGTGTGGCGAGAGGGGGGCCACCGTCACCTGCCAGGAGATGGGCTGTGACCGCAGGTTCCATCTCCCCTGTGCCGTGGAGGGTGGATGCATCACCCGTTACTTCCTGCCGTTCAGGTACCCCCTCTACCCTTCTCCCCATCTCCAGGGAAGGACCCAGCGCTTCTCATCTCACCCATGCCTTCCCTCTTCCCCTAGTTCCTTCTGCTGGGAGCACCGCCCACAACAGCAAGAGCTGGCGGCTCCAGAGGACACCAACTGCCTCATCTGCAGGGACCCTGTTGAAGGCAGAACGACCTATAGGACCATGGTGTGCCCAGCATGCAAACATGCCTGGTTCCACAGGGCGTGCATCCAGGTAGCAGTCGTTCCCTTGCTCCGGGCACGGCAGCCTCTCAGCAGCACCAGAGCCTCACTCACGCTCTTTCTGTTTCTCCTGCAGGGACAGGCTATGAGGGCTGGCGCTTTTTGCCTGCGCTGCCCTCTGTGTCAAAATACGAAACTGTTTCTAACAGAAATGCTCCTCATGGGGATCCAAATCCCCATAAGGTTGGTGTCCTCCTGGCCAGCACTGTGCCACGCCTGGACCTGCCCCCGCAGTTGTGGCCCTCTGCTGACCCCCAAGTCTAGGCTTTAGCTCCATGCCGGAGTTGGAAACAGCGTCTGGGGGGAAGAGCGGGGAGGCCCTGCATATGCCTTATGCTGGGGCAGCAGGGGCTCATCCATTTTCCTTTCTCCATCAGAAAGGCGGCATGGGAAGACAACAGTGCATACACAGAACTGTACCAGAGGCACAGGAGCTGCGATGCCAGGGAGTGCCTTTGTCCAGGAGGAAGGGAGGAAGTAGAGCCAGACGGGTAAGTTGCCAAAGATGCACCCCGGGGCTCGGCACGGGACCTCTGCCTCAACAAGGGCTCGAAGCAGAAGGGCTGAGAACAAGAGCTCTGCTGGACAATCCCGTGCTGTGGGCACTTTATCCTTAGAGACATGAACCCATTTCTTTCCCCAGGCCCTGGCAGCTCTTCCTGTGCCACTCCTGCGCTGCTGTGGGCACTCACAGACGCTGCTCCAAAGTGGGGAACAGCCATGAGGCCACATGGGAGTGTGACGGCTGTGCTGGCCCGAGCATCTGTAAGTGTCAAAGCACCCGGGTACTCCGGGGCTGGGGCCAGGGGCCAGGCAAGGCCAAGCAGCGGGTGCCTGGTGTGGGCTTGGCAGAGCCTGTCTGCTCCAGGAGGGCTGGGGCAGCGCTCTGGCCTACCCTGCCCCAGGCCTGGGAGCCAAGCCCTTGACGTTCCTGCTTTCCCTTGTAGCCTCCAGTGCCAGCTTAGAGCTTGCTGGTCCCAGCACTGCCAGCCCAGCAGCATCGGGGCAGTCTCCTGGATCTCTGGAACTGGAGTTCAGCAGCCCCAGCCCCAGCAGCCAGGAAGCACCGGGGCAGACTCCTGGATCTCTGGAACTGGAGTTCAGCAGCCCCAGCAGCAGCAGCCAGGCAGCATCGGGGCAGACTCTGGAACCTCAGGCACAGGAGTCCAGCAGCCCCAGCAGCAGCAGCCAGGCGGCACCGGGGCAGACTCTGGAACCTCAGGCACAGGAGTCCAGCAGCCCCAGCAGCAGCAGACAGGCGGCACCGGGGCAGACTCTGGAACCTCAGGCTCAGGAGTCCAGCAGCCCCAGCAGCAGCAGACAGATGCCATCAGCACCATGCCACAGTTGCCCAGTGTGTGAGGGCAGCGGCCGCTCCAGCCACCCTGGGCCTGACCGACGGCAACACCAAACCCGGTACACCCGTCAGACCCAGACACCCTACACGTGGCTTAGAAGACTGCAGGAGAGAAGCCGACTGCCAGCAACACGCTCTGTGATCAATACCCGCAGCCAGGCGGTGCCAAGGTTGTCCCAACGCTGCACATCACGTGAGACCCGCAGGTGCAGCGCCACCAGAGAGCAGCCATCAGCGGCATCCCGTGGCTCTGCACCGCTGCAAAGAAGCGGGAGCAACAGACGCGGTGGGCCCATGCGGGTGCGAGACCGCTCCCGCGTGCAGCGTCGGGCCCAAGCTCCCTATGCACGGCCCAGAAGACGCTCCCAGGGCAGCCGCACACCAGCAGCACGAGCTGGGAGGAGCCCCCGCAGACAGGCTGCGCCCAGGCTGTCCCAGGGCTCACCAGCACGTGCGAGCCACAGCCGCAGCATCACAAGGCAGCGGCCGTCAGCATCATCCCGTGGCTCCAGAGCACGACAAAGAGGCAGCGCCTCAAGATCCACCGGGCCCGTGCGGGTGCGAGACCGCTCCCGCTCGCAACGCCGGGCCCAAACTCCCAACACGCGGCGCAAAAGACGCCGTTTGAGCAGCCACACGCCAGCACCACGTGCAACCAGGAGCACACGCAGACAGGCTGTGTCGCGGCTATCCCAGCGCTCCCCAGCACGTGCTAGCAGCTGCTGCAGCAGTGACAGTCAGGAGTCATCAGGGAGCAGCAGCTCCAGCACTGACAGCCAGGAGGCTTTATAGCCATGCCACAGTTCCCTGGCACCAGGCACTGGCACTGCAACAATCGGGCCATGCCACAGCTTCTCGCTGTGCTCCCAGTTGAACTGTCACACCCAAACTGCCTACACGCGGCCCAGAAGACAGCAGGAGAGAAGCCAACCGCCAGCACCACGTGGTTAAAGGAGCACCCACAGCCAGGCAGTGAGGGGCTGCCCCAGTGCTCGCCAGTACGCGAGACCAGGAGCCCCAGAACCAGCAGGCATGGGCCATCGGCAGCATCCTCTGACTCCGCGGCACTGGAAAGCGGCAGCAGCTCCATCCCCGCTAGGCCCGCGTGGCTGCGAGACAACTCCCACTTGCGACATCGGGCCCAAACTCCCAGCGCACGGCCTGGACGCCTCAGTGGGACCAACCGTGTTTCACCTCTGAGCGACCACTGTGATCCCCCTCTACCGGCACAATAAAGGTGGCCCTTCATCTCTGGACTGGGAGATTCCAGGCTCCTTGGTTGGCTTCCTCCTCCTCTGCCTTTCTCAAGGGGCAGCATCAGGGACTGGGCCCAGAGCACTGTCCTTCCCCTAGAGGTCAGCAGCACCTCCTGCACACTGACCTCCTGCACCCACCCACCCAGCCGGCCTGGCCCTCACGGCTCACCCCCCAAAATCATGCACCCCGGTGCCAGTGACTTCTGACACGCTTCAGCTCTGTTTCCCCCTGGATAAGGCTATAAGCAATATCCTATCCTCATCGCCTACGTCAGTGAGCACGGTGGCAGAGGGGCAAAGCTGGGGTTCTTTTAAGAGTTCAGTTCAGTGTCACGTCTGTGCAAAGTACTAATTAGGGTAAAAGCTGCTGTTCTTCTTGTGTAAATGTAACTATCACAACACCAAATCTCTTCACTGAACAGGTCTGTGGAGTTCCCTAATCCCAAAGAACTCTCCCGGCTGTTATGCCCAGCTTTCAGCTAGATGAGAAGGGGGTTTTGCCTCTCTCCCTCCCTGCCTCCTGACATCCCTCCCTCTCCCATGCCCCCACAAAATGCTTTGCTATGAATCCTTGTTTGCAGACAAGCCTAAGCATACAGCTCTGGCTGGACTTTTCTCAACAGGCTGCTGAGACGCTTGGCTGAGGAACAGTAGTAAATATTGCACAGTATGTTCCCTAATTCTTCTAAATTTCCTGAACTTTGTCAGCACTTCCACTTATTTGGAAAGAAAACAAAACAGCCTTTCTGAAGGCGCTGAAAGCCCTGCTTTACATGAACAGGTCCTGTTTATGTGCTCTGGAAGGCAACAGCTCTGACTTGCTTTTGCAGCGCAGGCAGAGCGACTGCTGTTGTGGTGTCACACAGAAAGTCTTAGGCTCCAGGACGAAATCTGCAGAGCACAGGGACTGTTGGCTCTTTGTGTGGAGTGACTGACACTGCCAGCGAGGTGGGGGACGAGGAGGGGACTGGAATTCTCAACACCGAAAGATGAGGCCAAGGCTTCCCCTCTAATAGTTACATGGCTCTTTTTGACTCACTGAGTTTACATGAGGTTTACAACAGCGTGTAGTGACAGGACAAGGGGAATGGCTTTAAGCTGAAAGCGGGTAGATTTAGATTAGGTATTAGGCAGAAGCTCTTCCTTCTGAGCGCGGTGAGGCGCTGGCACAGGCTGCCCAGAGAAGCTGTGACTGCCCCATCCCTGGCAGTGTTCAAGGCCAGGTTGGATGGGGCTTGAAGCAACCTGCTCTAGTGGAAGGTGTCCCTGCCTGTGGCAGGGAGTTGGAGCTGGATGAGTTTTAATGTCCCTTCCAACCCAACTCTTCTGCAATTCTATGGATTTAGGTGAGTAGATGGTTTCTCAGGAGCCGTTAATTCCACGGTACAAGGTTCTGTTTGGTGCATTACTGCTGCAGATGTGCAGTGTTTGCTCTCTTTTAGTTTTCCCTCCCATTTTTAGTCCCCACACCAGGCTGACACCTCCATCCTCGCTTCCCATCCTCTTTTTATTTCAGCTTCACTCATATTAGTGCATTGGCTGCCTCATATCTAAGAGCACTCAGGCTCCAGACTGTACCAAAATGTTTCCTATGGATGCCACAAACTGCATGATTGCCGCTGCTGCCCATGCAGGGCCAGGGCCACAGGAGGTTTCTGTACTATAGTATTGCACTCTCAAGTTTTAAGGCTTTTTAATCAGGAGCAGGGGAAAAAAAATGGAAAAAAATATAGCTTCATTTTTAAATGTGGCACTTGTGCTGGGAATGCCTTCCCCTGCTCCGAGCTGGGGGTGACCCCAACGGGGTGCTGCTGCTCTTTGCTTTCCTTCACAGGCACTAGAAAGGGGCAGGAAAACTACCCAGGAGACTTTCTGCCGGCATTGCACCCATGGTTTATTTGAAATAAATCGTGATTTCTAACTCCAGAGGTGTCCTGGCTCTTGGATGGGATGGGGGGACTTCTGCAGTAGAGGTCACATCTGGCTGACCAGTACTTCTCCTTTTAAATGGGAATAAGACCTTCGCTTAAAAAAAAGGGGAAAAAAAGTGCACAAAAGTGGCTTTGATGACTGGCTCCTTCCACAACTCAAAAACGGTTTTTAAGTCTGCCTCCTAGTGGATTTGAGGGCCGGAGACAATCTAGAAACAGAGGAGCATCACATTAAAAATGAACAGCATAAAATGTTTTTAATAAAAACAGGCTTTGTCAAAAGACCAATCTTTGCAGAACTGCTAATGTCCTGAAATAAAACTAATTTGTTCATTTCACAGAAGACCCTATAACTGCAGTTTTAAAAGGGTAGGCAATTTAAGGACATTCTCTTCTCATAACACATCCACAAAACAATCTGTCACAAATACCTCTGTCTACTACACCTCAGGCCGTGGCTATTTTACGGAAGCATGCGAAAAGGCAGAGTTGGAGTTAGCTTTGGAACCCACATGCTCAAAATTTCATAGATTCTATTAAATAACAACCATGGTCTTTTAACCATATTCTCAAAGAAGGAGTCTCTATTTCTTGGGCTACAGGAGCCTTCTCTGAGGGTTACCCTACCTGCAGCTGCTTTGACAACTTCTCTCCAGAGTCAACCCGTATGTTAAAAACTACCGTTTTCAGTTCTTAGGTTGCAATGAGATAGCGTTACTAAATCCTTGCCCATTGCTGGCCCAAACAATGTAAACTGACATTTAATGGGAAATACTGCAAGTTTCTAGATTTCTTTTCCATTATCCAGTTTTCTTGATGCCTTTTTCTGTGCACCAACTGCTGTTACAAATCTTTATGAAATAATAAAGTGGAAATAGAGTAATGCAGAAATAGCAAAACAATAAGAAGTTTTCAATTCTGAAGTTATTTAAAACCCGGGTCTGGAAAGCAAACTCGACTCACAAACATTAAGGGAGCACTATGGTAAATCAACAAGGTAATACATGAACTTTGCAAATGAGGTACTCATTTGGAGCTGCACTAGAGAGGAGAGTATCTGAGCTTCTCACGAAACATAATGCTGGCAGAGAGATGACTGATTTATGTTCCTTAATGCTGACATAAAGTAAGATACTTCATCATTTGTCTGGAAAGAAAGCAGTTGTAGTTGTTCTTGTAGCAATAGTTGTTACTCTTCAAGAAAGCAGAGATCAGTGCATTGCAGTGCTGTGTTTATACATTTTTGTAGGAAGTACAGAAATGTCTAATTCTCATCCCTCTGTCTTCCCATTTATAAAAAAGAAAAGTCATTCTGAGGATCCTGGTTGCCTACAGCTTCTTTTTCTTGTTGACTGACTCAACATCAGCTTGTTTTACGAAGAGGAGGCTGAGGGGCCTCAAATTCTGGGCTAACACTACCCCAATGGGAGCTGTAAAAATGATGGTAAAGTTGTAAAGACAAATGCCTCTCAATCATGGGCAAATGGCCCCAGGATGGAGGTTCAGCCTGGTTGTCAAGAAAAGATTCTTCACTTGCAGAAGAGTGCTCATCTGGGGCAGCTGTCAAATCTCCAGCCTTAGCAGTAGTTGAGACTTGGCCCAAGCAAAGCTGAGTCTAATATAGTTTGGTGCTTTGAGTAGAGACAGGACTAGAGACCTCCAGCAGTGCCTTCCAAAGGACATCTTTACCTTGATGTGGGCTTGGTGATGCCTGCAAAGGATTTTGCCCAGACTGCAGTCTGCTTGTTAGTGCCTATGAGGTCTTTCTCCTCTCCCTAAATTTCATGGATTTGCAGGAATCTCATTGTCACTGAGCTCTCTTATCTCTTTACCAAATTGCATGCAAAATTAGTGAACAAATTCAAAAGACCTTGGGGTAGACAGAGGGAAGAAAGAGATGGAAAGACAAAAATGCATGCACATTTACTCTCTCTTCCTTTCCAGAGAGGAAAGATCACACACTTTCTTTTTTTGTTTTGCTTCCACAAAGTTATGCTACAGGGCAGATTGCCACAGGCTAGTCCATGTGGGAATTCTTGTCCTTTTCAGTATGTCCCTAACACAGCGATACGAAGGCACAAAATCACCATTCATCTTGCTTTCCAGTACACTCCTTTTCCTGAAGCCCATGGTGCCAACTCTGCCAGACATAATCCTAGATGAAGCAAACAACTGTTCTGACCTGGTACTGTAATTCCTTTGTCCTGGCCCCCATGTAACATTTATGTCTGTGACCCGATTTGCAAATCCAGCTGATGATATAGGGCAGGACAGAGAAGATGGAACAGCATGTTATGACCTCTGAGTGGTATTTCTCTTCACGTATTGACTGAGTTGAGAAAGTGAGTTCTAGTGTCATGCTCTCCATGATACTAAAGCAGAAATCAGAGCTAGCATAGGAAAAGGCCAAGTGAAAGATGTGTTTGTGCATTGCAAATAGCAGCATCATCAGCCAGTGCGTTCAGTGGGAAACATCTAGCTGCCCATGTTGGGAAGTTGTTGAGGACAGAATCTGGAAGTCTTACTTAATACTGCACATATTCAATTGGTCTTTTCTACA